ATGAGGTGAGGGCAAGGGACAGGGAGGATTAAGGTTCAGGGCTTCCTATAGGCCAGATTTACTTTTCTGGGGCTCTGAAAGTGGATTTTATGAACCTCCTTGGGCTCTGAGGTGGGAACAAAAACGAGGGGTCCAATGTGTGGGACAGGGCTGTCAGTGAGTGGGACAGGGATGCAGGACGGAGTGACAAGAGCAGCATCTAGAAAGGAGTTTGGCAACAGGACAGGGTGTGGGGTGGCGGTAAGAGAGAGAGTTTGGGGTAATAACACAGAAAAGGTGAGAATGCAGCTAAATAGCTACTTGGGGAAGGAGGCAAAAAAGTGGGGAGTAAAGAAAAGTAAAATTGTATCTCCCCCTTACATCTTCCCTCTGCTCCAGCCTCACTCCTCTTCGCCCCATAATCCCCCCGCATCCTCCTTCACCCCCTCCAGCCCCCACATCCCTGTGTTTCCCAATGCACTCACCAGCAGGGTAGCAGCAGCACAGGGGCAAGAAGAAGTGGGGAGGGGGGGGGGGGAAGAGGCCCTGCGGGCTCCGGCAGAGCCCAGAGCTGGCTCCAGCCTGGCCAGGCACAGAGGGGCATTGAGTAAGGAGCTCCCTGCCTCTGCACACAGCCTGTGCCCCATGTGTGACCGGCTGCACAGCCCCAGCTCTGAGGAGCAGGCCCAACCCCTCCCCCACCAGAAGCAAGAAGCCTATAGCCAGGAAGGGAGCGGGTTAACCCCTTACCTCCCGGGAGCTGCACACCCAGGCTGATCAGGGGCAGCCCCAAGGATGCATGCACACCTCTCTCCACCCCAACCCTCCCCCAGCAGGAAGTCAGAGCTAGTGCTCCAGCCTGCAGCTGCGCAATTGAGGCTGGAGCCTCAGCACGAGTGCCCAGCTGCACAGGGGAAGGGGCAGGGCTGAGCTCCCACCGTGTGCCACGGGAAATTGGCTCATGTGCCATTTGTGGCATGCGTGCTGGGGCTTGCCAACCTGTGTTCTATACAATGAAAGAACACATCTGATACCATCTTCTATTCATCGTCAAGTCCTTTTCTGTTTTATTTTTGTTTTGTCTTGCTCCTCTTTATCTTTAAATAATTTTGTTTCTTTGTGCTCATTTATTTTCTTTTAGTTCTCCCATTACGGATAGATACATAGAAGTGGAGGTGTTTGTTGTTAACTTTGCCAGAAGCAAGTTTGGGTTGCCAGGCTGCTGCGTGTATAAAAGCTACTCAAATGCCTGTCTACAGGCTGGTCCATGCTTACAATCGCACAGCTGTACCAATGTAAATTCTAGTATAGACTAGGCCAAAATTAAAAGGTGACAATGGAAAAGGGAGAGAAAAACAGGCAGTTTTCAAGGAGCCATTCACTGCTTTAACCATGTACATGCTGAAACTCTCTAAACTGTTGAACAGGATCACAGCTGTTCAAAGACCAAAGAGTCCCAATGGAGGGTTAGCACCTGGGAGCCCTGCAGGCTGGCAGGGTACAGGAACCCAGCACGTGGCAGTGGTAGAATCGTTCAACAAATATCTAGATTGACTGAAATCCTTATATTAACAGGAGACGGGGAAGATTTCTTGATGTACAGCTTGTTCTGGAATCATATCTTGTATTGTAGAGAAAATGTTTGTGGCTGCATAGAAGTATATTTTAACAATTTGCTAAAATGGAACAGACTCTGCTAATCAGAGAACCTGGCCTGTCAACAGAGAACAATGAAGGCAGTGGGGCTGCCAGGCTAGGGGCCAGGAGCCCAACTCGTGGCAGTGGCGCTGCCTGCTAGGGCAGAGGGGGCCAGTGGCTGGAGAAAAAGTCATCCGGGAGGCCGATGGTTGGACAACGGCTGGGGGGAGCTGGTGGCAGGAGAGCCAGCAATTACCTCCCCTGGTCCAACAAAATCCCTTATCCGGACCAATCAAGTCCCAAGGGTGCTGGACTAGGGAGTCCAACCTGTAGGACATTTTCTGGAAGGAGAAGTTGCTATAGGCTATGTGTTTTACAGTTACTCCTCACCCCACTCTATTTCTGTTCCACATTCTCCTGGACTGGTCTGGTGATCCCTACTGGGATCATTCTTCACCTCTGAATCAGGTACGGTTAACAGTAATTAGTCAATGTACATTTATGACAATTGTCTCCACAGTTCCCAAGTGCCCAGTGGTCACCATGCAACCATTATATAAATATAAAATCCTATTTAAAATGTTAACCAGTTAAAACCGGGGGGCAAGGCCACCACACTACAGCAGTGGTCAGGGGCTGATCCCGCCTGACTGTGCAGGGCCTGCCACATCACCGGGCTGCTCCAGCGAGGACACCCATTGGTTAACAAGTTATCCTGGTAAGCATGCTTGTAAGGCAAAACTTACTGGGTAACCGATTAACCAGCTACCCCTTTATATCTTTGGTAACTATCGATATTTCAAACACACATGATTACATTCTGAAAAGGATGAGGAACAGAAAAAGAAAAACAATATTTTCACATTAAAAAAGGCCGGAAAGATTCTATATCTACCTGTTTGTTATATACTGTGTGTTTTTAAATAATAGTTTACAAAGATACAATAGGAAGACCAGCCATCCATAAAGCCCCACCCTGGCCAAGTGTAAGAGAATCCTCATTGCAGCCAGATCCCAGTACATACAAAATACTCCTAAAATATTTAAAGTCATACAAAGCCAAACAAAAGCCAGAAACTTCAAAGATAAAAAACACAATGTTAATTTTAACTAACTCTTGTTGTCTTCCAAATAAAATACAAAGAAGAGCCTACAATAAGGCTTATCAAATTTGAATGTACTGACTTTCATAAGTTTGCCTCAAACTTTGTGTTACTTAAAATGAATATTTTGTTTTTAACAATAGATTAGTGTCTGCCTGTGGTAGATTTTACAGAATACACCTCACCTTTCATGGCAGTCATGAATGTTGTATGTTTTGTGTGCCATTTTCCTCCCATTTGAATCAACCATAACATGTTTTTCAAGACTTCACTTGAATTTCAGGGTTATTCTCCTTCCCCTCTATACTCATTTTGACTGCAATCTGACCTCCCTTTATTGCCAATCAGAAACTGTTTTGAATCTGAAGCACTTTTACATAGGATTTGGGCCTGGAATGACAGAATTTTTTTTCCAAGTCAGGGTAAACTCAAGTTACTAGCTTTTATAATATTTTTCACAACTATCACCAGTTAAAGTACCTTATTGTCATCTCTGGTAGATTTACATGAGTGTATATGATTTGGATATCTTTTCTTCTGAAATAAAAGCCTTACAATATTGTAAGTTGATCTCTGAGAAACCTGAGCACAGAGTATGAGATTAGGTCACTCCTACATTTTAAATTAATTTTGAACATTTCCTAAAGCATGCTCTACATTACATATAGTATTTACCCAGGGACTATTATTAGGGGCTACTTTAAATTATATTATTTCATACACGTTTCATTTTCTACAGACCAAGAAGTATTTTCTCGGTGGCTTCCCCTCCCTGCCATTTCCGTGTTTGGTAGTTTTACATGTACTGATCTTATAACTCCCTATAGCCCTTGTTCTCACTTCTAAATAAAAAAGCATATTTTTTGTAGACAGACACATGACACCATGCTGATCCTACTTTATTCTCCTGCTTGCCCTCAAACTCTCATTTGATAGCAGAATTGACAAGCTGAGGAAGGCTACTAATTTATAGCCCATCAGCCCAAAATCCAGAGTGGGAAAGGAGGCAAGATCTGGTGAGCTTTCCCATAGGCTTATACTTCGGGGTAAGAGAAAAAAGAGGAATCCGGATCATCACGCCCATCATGTAAACTGTTTAGGAGATTCCACAAAGATATTTCCCGATATGTCTCTCCCTCCCCCCCAACACACACACCGGATCAGGCTGCTGCCCTTTCCAAGAGAGATTTCCAGGTGAAAAGGGGACCCACTAGGGGACTAGCCTCATGGAGAAGGGGCACTGAGGTGAGAAGCCAGGCGCGCAGGGGGCTGGGCAAGAGGTCCCTGGTGGCCTGCATGTAAACATGCCCCCCTCCCTCCAGAATGTGCGCGTCGATACACAGAGCCGTGGCCGGGCTCCCCGCTCCATGGAGGAAGGCCCTGGGTCCAGGAGCGGGGGTTCCCTCCCCCGTGGGGCCGAGCCCTGGGGCCACGCGGGAGGGGGCGCCCCCCTCGGTGGGCCGGGCCCGTGTCCGGGCCGGGCGCTCACCTTTGTAGTGTAAACATGCCCCCCTCCCTCCAGAATGTGCGCGTCGATACACAGAGCCGTGGCCGGGCTCCCCGCTCCATGGAGGAAGGCCCTGGGTCCAGGAGCGGGGGTTCCCTCCCCCGTGGGGCCGAGCCCTGGGGCCACGCGGGAGGGGGCGCCCCCCTCGGTGGGCCGGGCCCGTGTCCGGGCCGGGCGCTCACCTTTGTAGTGCACCCGCAGGTTGTTCTGCGAGAGGCCGATGTAGCTGAATTTGTCCTTCGGGCTCCAGGAGCGGGGCAGCGGCGTTTCCTGCTCGTCCACGGCCGGGG